ATCTGTAGCTGGCAGGCCAGCCCTAATACATATGATCTAGAGGGCCAAATACAATTATATGGCGGTCCAAATTTGGGCCCCGGACATGAGTTTGACATGTCTGTCTTAGTATTTAGATAATTTTCTGCATCACCACCACCGTTTCTAGCCTCACTCTGAAATTGTCAAACACATGTCACGTTAACTTACATTTAAGAGCCACATATTGACCTCTTAAGCCCCAAGGCCTTATTCTCAAAATTACTAATGTATGATATTTTAAAGCAATGAGCAGTCACTATTTTTATTTTCCTTTAGGCCAAGCTGCTGAAATTAACAGCATAAAGACTCGGACAAATGTGACTGAAAACCATGTGGCGTCCCTGAGGAGAGACAGAGAAGGTGAGAGCAGTTCATTGATTATGACATTTCTAACTCACATTCTTCAGACACTTACCTGGACTCTGGGAAGAACCAAAATACTAAGACAGACTAAATGAGGAATATTATTATTATACACGGAGTTCCAGAGGTGCAAGGAGAAACAGATCAAAAGACAGAGCTGATGATTAAAAACTTTATGACCACTCACCTTAAAATGGATGAGGCATCATTGAAAATCATCATCTTTGGTAGAGTTCATCACATTAGACTTCTCGTCCTGTTGTTGCACAACTCATGGATCCAAAGAGCAAGTCTAAAGTGTGAAACTCAAAGAACAACTTTCTCCTTCAGCGATCAGTTTCACCTGACATTCTCAAGTGAAGACGGCTCTTGTATCCAGTTATGAAGGATGTGAGAAAGAACAATAAAAGAACCGTCTCACAGTGGACAAACTTTACATGGATGAACAGCTGTACAGGAATTCCAGTGTAACTTATTGGCTGAGTGGAGGTGACAGTAAAGTTCTAACTGATAATACTGCTCTCACCACTCAGTCGCATCAAAACACCGACACACAATGACCACATCATGACCACGCCGTTGTAAAACTGTGATGATCTGTCATAAAAGAGTGCTCTGACAGGCACCTGGTACTACTACTACTACTACTACTACTCCAGTACTTGCTAAACTATAAACTTGTTCCTCGCATTAACTACCAACATATTATAAGGGTCTATCACTAACCATATCCCAACAGTACTCTTGAAACAGAATCCTGACTGACCTTTATCCTGTTTGTGTGTGTGTGTGTGTGTGTGCGCGTGCGTGCGTGTGTGTGTGTGTGTGCGTGTGTGTGTGTGATGTTCTGTCTTTCAGACTCTCTCTGTTGTGGCATGTATTTATGAACCTGACAAAAGTATCCAAATGATTCATCTTAACATCAGGATCCTACTGCCTAAAATTGATCTACTAAAAGCCCGGCTCTTCTACAATAAACCTGGTGTAATTACCCTGTCTGAAACATTAAGAGTAACTCAATAGTAACATTTCAGTTGAGGAAATTAAACTTGACAGTAATTTATTGTATAAATGAGACATCAATTCGAGAGGTGGAGGAGTTGTTACAAACATTTCTTCAACATTAGTCTCTGAAGTCATTACACACAAAGAGAATCCCACTAAATTTGAATGTCTATTTGTGAAAATCATTCTACATGAAAATAAAAAAAAATACATATATAAACAAAGACAATATTTACAGAACACCCAATGCCCCAGCTGAATCTACAAAACCTATTCTTAAATCCTTAAATACTCAAACTGAGATGATTATTCTGGGTGATTTTAACAATTGGCTTAGTCGCTCCTGCAGTAATGATCAGAATTATTTCAATAATATAAATCTAACGCAAATCATAGCTACAAGAATCTGTTACATCTCAAAGGGACTTCTCTTCTAAATAAAGAAATAAAACCACATTTAGACTACAGACAGTTCATGTTCAGACTTTTATGTTTATCTTATTTTCAGTGGGACAAGTGGCTTTCTCCGCCTCTTTAGTGGCTTCAGGTGATGTAACCTTCGGCCCCTTTAACACTCACACTGATTTGGTCTTCAAACACGTGTTCTCAAACATTGGAAACGCCTACAGCCCAAACACAGGTGAATAAACTCACACATGTTACAGTGATCTATGTGAGCGTTACCAACACTAACATTATGTACATATCCTACAGGGTTTTCCACTGCACCGGTCAGAGGGGCCTACCACTTTGAGTTCTACATCTTTGGGCAAATGGATTCTTCACATTCTTCAGCTGCTGTGTTGGTGAAGAATGGAGAAAATATTTGTATTTCTTATGAATATCAAACAGCTGGTGATGGCAAATCCTCTAATGGAGTCACTTTGCTCCTGGAGGTTGGAGATGTTGTGTTTCTGCGTCAGTGGGAGAATTCAAGAATCTTTGATAATCAAAATCATCACAGTACGTTCAGTGGTCACCTGCTGTTCCCCATGTGACAGATGCTTGTTTTAAAATTTTGAACTTTTTTATTCAAACAGTTAAACTAGTTAAACACATAAACTTTTCACAGATCTGTAACTTTAAATCCACATCACACAGCCTATGTTTTTTTTTTGTTTGTTTGTTTGTTTTTTTTTAGTTTTTTTTACTTTTTCATATTTAAATTCTTCTTAAGTGTCACTGATGAAACTTTCAAGCAAAAAGATAAACATTAAAACATGAAAATAAACTGTTCTTTAATCAATATAGAATGTAAATATAACTATTAATACCTTAACAGCATTTTAATGACCATCTTCTAAATTGTAATTTACAAAAAATAAAAGATTCATTCCATTCCATTCCATTTTCTTCCGCTTATCCGGGGCCGGGTCGCGGAGGCAGCAGTCTAAGCAGAGACTCCCAGACCTCCCTTTCCACGCACACTTCCTCCAGCTCTTCTGGGGGGACCCCGAGGCGTTCCCAGGCCAGTCCTGGGTCTTCCCCGGGGCCTCCTCCCAGTGGGACATGCCCAGAACACCTCCCGAGGGAGGCGCCCAGGAGGCATCCGGAAAAGATGCCCGAGCCACCTCAACTGGCTCCTCTCAACGTGAAGGAGCAGCGGCTGTACTCCGAGCTCCTCCCCGTGTGACTGAGCTCCTCACCCTATCTCTAAGGGAGCGCCCAGCCACCTTGCGGAGGAAACTCATTTCGACCGCTTGTATCCGCGATCTTGTCCTTTCGGTCATTACCCAGAGCTCATGGCCATAGGTGAGAGTGGGAACGAAGACTGACCGGTAAATCGAGAGCTTTGCCTTTCAGCTCAGCTCCCTCTTCACCACAATGGTCCAATACAGCGACCGCATCACTGCTGAAGCTGCACCCATCCGCCTGTCAATCTCACGTTCCATCCTCCCCTCACTCGTGAACAAGACCCCGAGATACTTGAACTCCTCCACTTGGGGCAGGGCCTCTCCACCCACCCGGAGAGGGCAAGCCACCTTTTTCCGGTCGAGAACCATGGCCTCGATTCATACATTAATTTAATTTAGTTTGAGTGTTTGATTTGAGATTGTAGATTAACAATATATTTCACTCTATATTTGTACACAGGTCTTATCTCTTTCAAACTGAAGGGAAAGGTGTAATACACTGACAGGGGTAAATATATTTGTAAATTATTTGAGTTTTATATTCAGACTTGTTGTTCTTGGTTATTTTGAGAAGTACATGTGCTCTCTCTTGATATAACTTTACTACAGTATTTAGACCTTGTATTATAAGTCATAGCTACATTTATTTCTATTGATTATTTCAATAATCAATAGAAATTTTCTTTAACTGTCAGTGGCTGTAGAGGCAGATTTACACCAATGGGATTCACTTCCTCTAAACTTTCATGCTCGAATCTCAGTCATAAAAACATTCTCTTTCAATCAGTTTTACAAGCTTCATTCTCACCTCCTAAGAAATACTGGGAGAAGTTGCAACTATCAAAAGCAAATTTCATCTGGTGCACTAAAACACAAATAATAAATACAAGTCTCTATTACATAAATCCAAAGGTGAGGAGCTTTAGGGTCACAATCTTTAAGTGGTATCATTGGTCATTCATACTTAGGCCCCTAAACCAATTACACCCAGACTCTACTGCCTCCTGGAGATCTATCGAGGAGAAACTTGTGCACTCCCACCAACTTCAAGACTTTGTTTATCCCAATATTCCTCCAAATCAACTTTTAAAATATGGTTCTATTATTAATGAAATAATATTAGTGTGGAATAATGTCAACAAACACTGCAATATTAAGTCTATATGGTTTAAACACTCCCTGATCTTTCCTTCATAATTCTTTACTTAAAGTTGGAGACATCCCCATTTCTTTTTGTCAATGGTCAAATAATGGAGTCCATATTTTAAGTGATATCAACTCCTCTGGCCTCTTATCATTTCAAGAGTTACAAAAGCAATACAATCTGCCAGGATCCACTTTTTATTTTTATTTACAACTGTGGACTGCAATGAACACTTATGGGGTCCCATGGAATAGCTCTATTATTTATCCACTCCATTCAACCAGCAACATGCAAGTAAGTATTTTCCTTTAGTCAGTCTCTCAGGAACCTTTACATGTTGTCAGACTGTAGGAAGAAGATCTCCATGACTCTTGGAAAACAATCTGGCAGAATGTGCAGCCTTCATCAAGAAATCCTGATCATCATGTTATTCATTTCAGTTTTACTCACAGAACATATTTATCTCCAGACATTTTATTCAAGATCAAATCCCTCCTCTAACTGCAACCTTTGTGATCTGAAAGTGACTGGGACATTTCTACTTATTTTCCAAAAGTAAAGTCTGTTTGTGGAGGGGTGGTTCAAAGACACTTTCAGAATTACTATAAAAATATTCCATGTAGGACAACAGTGTAATCAAAGAAAGATTATTTCTTATAATACTGTGATGTAAAATATTCTGTTAAAGACTGAAATTCTTCATCTTATCTAGAATCATGTGCCCCTGAGGGATGAATCAATGATAGTAAATGATAAAAGGTAATGAGTAACATGTGTAATAAAGTCTGTATAAAAGTGTGAGAGTGTTTGTGGGGCTCATTCTTCTTTACACGATGGAAAGAGTGAGTGTGTTGTGTGCACTGCTGCTGCTGCTCTGCTCTCTGTCAGGAGCTGAACTTCAGGACAATGAGATCAGTGACCAAAGACAAGCCAGTCCTGAGAGTGTGAATGTGCCAGAGCAGCCTCAGCCCTGTCCACCAGACCTCCACGCTGTGCTCCGACACATGAGCACCGCCCTGGACGAACACAGAGTCAAGATCGAGCAGCTGCAGTGTCTCAACCAAGGTCAGAATCAACACTTCTCTACAACTCACTGAAGTATTTCATGACAGGCTTTATCATGTGTTTTTTACAATATTGATCAACACTAAATCTTCTGATGTCTTAGAACAAACAAAAAAAATTAGAGAACAAGAAGCTGAACTGAGAGAGCTGAAGACCAGAGATGTGGAGACACTGAAACAACAGCAACAAGGTACTGTCTTTAATCACTCTTGGATAGTTCTAAAACAGTCACTGTAAAAATTGATACATTCATGCAATAACATTACAATCCCAAAACTAGTAATTAGATTGTAATTTTAACAAACATACATTTGGAGCATGTTTGAACAGTGTTAATTATTTATGTTTTGTGTTGAAAAAAGTTGCATTAATAAGCGTCAGACAGTTCTAAAATAGTTTAACTCACTGCAAAAAAGGACAAATCCATGCAAACACAACAAAGTATCTATTACATATGTTCTTTTACTATGGATCAGGATTGGATTAGAATTAAAAAATAATGGTCGCTGTTATAATGGACTTTTCTACTTTCACTGAGCAAACATCTTTGAGTGTCCAAAAAAAGCACTATATAAAACTGATGCATCATCATCATCATCATCATCATCATCATCATCATCATCACTCAAAGTGTTTACCCGTCCACACACATTTAAATACCAGTGTTCACAAACACAGGAGTCGAGTTAAATTTATTTGTCTGTAAAGTGTGTTAATAAAACATCGTGAACATATTCACTGTGTGACCTTAGTATTTAGATCTTCTGTATCAGCACTGGTGGATTGTCTAAGCCACAGCGAATTATCTCTAGTTGCACTCTTTCCTTACAGAATTTAATTTTAAAATACATTTTTAAAGTTTGTCTTGTTGTTTTTGTTTTGTTTGTTTTTTTCATTTCCTCTTAGGCCAAGCTGCTGAACTTAACAGCATAAAGACTCAGACAAATGTGACTGAAAACCATGTGACGTCCCTGAGGAGAGACAGAGAAGGTGAGACCAGTTCATCGATCATGAAAATTCTAACTCACATTCTTCTAGAGCTGGGTACCGTTAGATTATTATTTTTTTAACCAGTACTTTACCTGTACACCTGCTTTTCAATACACATGGTTACTTGGACGCAGGAGGAGGATTATGGAGGATCTCATTTGGATGCATCTATACACACACAGATTCCACACTGGTTAAATTTACTACTCCACATTTATTTGTGAATTATGAGTTTTTCAAGAATGACGAGGAGGAGGATTGTGGAAAGGAGTTTTGGTACCCAGCCCTACATTCTTCAGACAGTTACCAGTGGTCTCATTTATTAAATGTGCAGTTTCAGTTTTTATTTTTTTTTTTTTTTGTTCTGTTTCCAAGAGATCAGAAAATAGTGTATTATGAACCATTTAAACTCTGAGAGCAATTTGTGTCATACAGACCTTTAATGTCTGAATTCCAGCTGTTCTTCAGATATTATACAATGTCAGAACTGATTTTTTTCTCTAGGCCAAGCTGCTGAACTCAACATCATAAAGACTCAAATAAATGTGACTGAAAACCATGTGAGTACTGAGGAGAGACAGAGAAGGTGAGACCAGTTCATTGATAATGAATTATTTCAATCAAATCTAACATAAATCAGAGCTACTAGAATCTGTTACATCTCAAAAAGGCTTCTCTTCTAAATAAAGAAATAAAACCACATTTAGACTACAGACAGTTCTTTATGTTATATCTTATTTTCAGTGGACAAGTGGCTTTCTCGGCCTCTTTAACGCTTCAGAGACAGTAACCCTCGGCCCCTTTAACTCTCAAACTAATTTGGTCTTCAAACACGGGTCTCAAACATTGGAAACGCCTACAGCCCAAAACAACAGGTGAATAAACTCACAATGTTCAGTGATCTATGTGATGTTCCAACACTAACATTATTACATATCCTACAGGGTTTTTCACTGCACCGTCAGAGGGCCTACCACTTTTGAGTTTACATTGGGCACTGGGACATCTTACATTGTTTCATCTGTGTTGGTGAGAATGGAGAAAACATTTGTAGCTCTTTAGAACATGAAACACTGTTTTGCCAAATCCTTAATGGAGTC